GTTCAATTAAGATAAGAAACTGAAAGTGATAGTGAAAGAGATGGTGAAGATACAATAGGCTGCATTTACCCTGGAATGGGCAGAGTTTGGAAGAAGGAGAACAGTAGAAGGTTGACACAGGGCAGAGGGACATAAAGCAAAGCAATATGAGAACTTGTGGACAGGAGGGGCTCAGTGTTAGAGAGGCTTAGATCTTGAGTAGTGACTTTGGATGACCAGAATATAAGACATGAAGAGGTTAGCAAGCTGCAAGGTTTCAAAATAATTCATCCTAACATTCTTCTAATGGATAGAGGATGAAGGAGTGGAGAGTAGCTCAGGCAGTGTGGAGGGAGTGAGCATGGCCTGCAGTGATGGTACTTTTAAGAAATCCCAAGACAGCCGAAGTCGGTTTGGCTCAGTGGATAGAGCGTCAGCCTGTGGACTGAAAGGTCTCGGGTTTGATTCCGGTCAAGGGCATGTACCTTGGTTGCAGGCACGTACCTTGGTTGCGGGCACATCCCCAGTGGGGGGTGTGCAAGAAGCAGCTGGTCGATGTATCTCTCTCATCGAGCTTTCTAACTCTCTATCCCTCTCAATTCCTCTCTGTGTAAAATCAATAAAATATATTAAAAAAGAAAAAAGAAAAAGAAAACCCAAGACAGGTAAATAGGCTGTCATTAGAATTGGTTCCAAGATTTTGACCAAATGCTGGAATAGCCAATAGTCTCTTATGGAGCCGATAGTGTATCTGTTTTACTACAGCAGAGTACACCTGCATTGTGACTTAATTGTGCTGGAGTTGAGAATAGCATTCTGTCCTCAACTGGAAGCCACAAATCACTTAGCACAGAGTGGGGAGCAGAGATGCATTGAGTTGGTGAGCAAGGGTTTGAATTATGAGTTCTCAGCTTAGTATGCTGCATGGTGCTTCCAGCCACAGTGTCAAGTAGTACATGGGTCCTCAATCAATACTTATTCAATAATTGGTCTTTGATTAGTTAATTGCAAAATGAAGTGATGTATATTACTCTTTGTAATTTGCAGCAGAGTGGCTTAGCCAATAATTCAATCTGGCCTTCAAGTTATTCTCCGGGGTAAAAGAATAAAAGGACCAGCCCTGGCTGGGTAGCTCAGTTGGTTAGAGCATTGTCCTAATATGCCAAGATTGTAGGTTCGATCCCCAGTCTCTCTCTTCCTCTCTCTCTCAAGTAAAAAAAAAAAAAAAAAAAAAAAAAAAAAAATCAATGGAACCTAAGGAATGCAGTTCATGGTGGACTTGAGTATAGGGAAGAAGTAGTGAACTCATTGGTATTATAGCAATAACTATAAGATATTGACAAGATAACTAAGGATACAAGAAACAAGAAAACATGAAGTAGCTTACTTTGCAGATGGTCATATTCCTTCTGGGTTCAGCTCTCTAGTTTAATGCCTTACACACTTAGCAAATATCTAAACATGTTTGTTGATGACTCTTTTGTTGTTCAGGTTACAAGGAGAAAGTAACAGCAAGTGTATAGATTTATTAGGGCTAGTGCTGGAAAAAAATATAGCTAACATGGGCCGAAACCAGTTTGGCTCAGTGGTAGAGCGTTGGTCTGCAGACTGAAAGGACCCGGGTTCGACTCCGGTCAAAGGCATGTACCTGAGTTATGGGCACATCCCCAGTAGGGGGTGTGCAAGAGGCGGCTGGTCAATGTTTCTCTCTCATCGACGTTTCTAACACTATCCCTCTCTCTTCCTCTCTGTAAAAAATCAATGAAATATATTTTTTTTAAAAAAAAGAAATATAGCTAACATGGTCTTGTCACAAGATGGCAGACTTAAGGATACTGAAATGGCACCTGGAGTTGGTTTCTCTATTCACCATGGCAACACATCCTCCATCCCCCAGCATTCCTTTACCCCAGAGAAAAAGTTTTATTCTTTTACCCCAGAGAAAAAGTTATAGATTAGTTGTTGGTGGTGGAAAAACTTCCTTCCTTCTTTCCTTCTTTTCTTCCTTCCTTCCATCCTTCCTTCCTTCCATCCTTCCATCCTTCCTTCCTTCCTTCCTTCCTTCCTTCCTTCCTTCCTTCCTTCCTTCCTTCCTTCCTTCCTTCCTTCCCTTCATTCACAAATGCTTAGTGCATGACAGCTTTGTGCTGAGGATCGGGCATACAACGACTAAGTTCTCTCTCTTTGCAAGCAGTCTGCAGTACAATTTGCTATAAGCTAGGCCATGTTGGATAAGGCTTTGGTGAAAGAAAAGGGGTTGGGCAGAAGAATATTCTTTAGAGGAATAGTAAGTATGAAGATAATATATGAAGGTAATAATAATATATGAGGCAGAAGTAGTCATGGTGTTTTTATGGAAAAAAACGAGAAGTTAACATTAACAGAATTGACAGTGCATGCTAGAGAGATGGGCCCAGCTTTTCAGGGGCTTACATTTGAAGTCGAGATGTTTGATATTTTCTTGTAGGCAGTGGGGAGCTACAAGAGCAAGGAAGTGCACTTTAGCAACACACTTGTAGTGGCTGTGTGAAGGTCTCTAGGATTGAGAAACTGGTCCAGTCATAGAAATAGCTGGAACCTTGCTACCCAAAGCATCCTCCATCAGCATCAGCCTTACCCAGGAGCATGCTAGAAGTGCAGATTCTTGGGTGTCAACCAGAGACACTAAACCATGTCGGTGAGATTCCCAGGTGATTTGTAGGCTGGGTAAATATGAGTAGTACTGATTCAGGAGCGATGCTGATAGCTCTCACAGCATTTTTTGTGGACTTCCATGGGAGGGGTGACCCAACCTTTCTGTCTTCTCTTTTATCACAGATTCACAGACCATTCCACAGTGTTTTTTGAAAAACTGATAAAATTTTTTTTGAAGGTTGATATATATTTAAATTTTTTTAAAAAGTGTATTTCAATAATTTGAGAAATTCTTTACCTTTATGATTTTTCAAAAACAGTTTAGACTAAATGTGTCAATGGATTCTAGGAGGTGTACACAGAGACTCTCCTACCTGTGCTATTTTTATTTCTTTAAAAAAAACATATTTTATTGACTTTTTACAGAGAGAAAGAGAGAAGGATAGAGAGTTAGAAATATCAATGAGAGAGAATCATCGATCAGCTGCCTCTTGCACACCCCCTACTGGAGATGTGCCCGCAACCAAGGTACATGCCCTTGATGGGAATCAAACCTGGGACCTTTCAGTCTGCAGGCCAACGCTGTATCGACTGAGCCAAACTGGCTTTGACTATTTTTATTTCTTAAGCTTGGTGATGGGATGCAGGTGTTCATAGATTATAATTTTTCATTTTGGTAGATTGCAATATTTTATCATTTCAATTAATCTTGATTAATCTTGATTAAAAATTAATGCTTAGCGATCTACAAAAGGAAAAAGAGCTAAAACTTTCATCCAAAATGGTACTTCAAGGTCCATATCAAGGATGGGAGTAGAATCTAAATGATGCTGATAGTATTTATGTAAATGGTAATAGTTACATTTGTTGCGTGCTCAATAAATACTAAGTGGGGGAACTTGCTATGTGATAGAAACTGTTTTATATGCTTTATATAGAACCCAGTCAATGCTCACATCCATCTAGTAGGTAGGGCTTATTATTTCTCTCTGTTTTGTGGAGATATTTGCATAGGTAAAATAAAACACTAGAATATGAAGATATCAGACACTTGATCCAAAGCCATAGAGATAGCTAAGGAATGAGAATTTGAATTCATTTCATGGACATCCAAGGTCTACATCCTTAAACACCACTCTATAGTGTAATAGACAGCCTCTCTGCATAAATATATTTATTGCAGAATGTTGAGGATGAAGGGTCTTAATGAAATAAATGCACTCTTTTCCTTGGTCAGGTCAGAGAAAATCAAGTGCAATACATTTTTAGCCTTTGAGTGATGTCTCTTGTAGTATTTGTTAACTGTCCTGTGCATACCTGAACATAGGGAAATACAATTTGGAGCTAGGAATGAATGATATTGAGAAAAATTGTCCCCATTTGAATGTAAAATATAGGGGAAATCCATCCAATTATGATCCACTAATTAATCCACTCTTTAAAAAAATGCATCCTAGTTGAAAAACCCTCCCCAGAGAAGGCTCCCCATTTAATATTTAACCATCCTTTAAGATCCAGCTAACTATCATTCTGTCATGAACCCTTTCCCCATTCTCCCCCTTTTACTCTCATCCCTCTACTTGTGATGGTAAGAGCCAACACTTATTGAGCATTACAGCATATTGGACATGTTGTAAGCACTTCCCTTATTTTATCCCCTTCTAATACCTTTTGGATGGTTATCACTATACTCGTTTTACAGAGGAAGAAACTGATGTATTTCAAGATGAAGTAACTCATCTGACATCATGCAGTTCATAAGTGGCAGAGCCAGAATTCAAATCCCAAGAGTCTGACCCTGGAGCTGGAAGCTTGTCATCACTGGGCTATCTGCCTCCCTGGTCACACTGGTTCGATGGTCCCCTCTTTCAACTCTTTCTGAATCATTCCTTTAAGGCATGGAGAGGGTCCTGCAGTCTGGGTGCTGTTTCAGTGCTGGGAACACATTGGTGAGCAGGCAAAGGTGCTTCCAGTCTAGGTGAAGGGTGGAGAACAAGGCTTTCTAGAAAGTGCGGACAGCCTCAATAAAGGCCTGGAAGGAGAGGGAGGGAATCTTTTCTGGGACTGCATATCTGGAGTACAGAGTTCATTAAATGGGAGGGAAGGTGAGTCTTGAGGCTGGTGAGCTGAGCTGTGTCCACACCATAGCTTCTTCTGAGCTTGTAAAGAATTTGGGTTGCAATTTTACTGTGAAGGTAACAGGAGCCACTAAATGATTTTAAGCAAATCTGGAAGATGTTGATTTTGAACTATGTTCATCTACATATTGATATTTTAGTGTCATTTGGTGAATTTTAAGAAACCAGCCAGCCATTAACTTTGTATTCAGAAAGTCTCATTCAAGAAGTTTTTAAAAGAATAACAATGAAAGACATTGGGGGAAAAAAAACAATGAAACGTAACACTTTATTATTATTTTTTATCTTTGAAGGAATTCACCAAAGGTTTCATATTATGCTATGGCATCTTTAATTATAAAAATAAGCAAATAAAATAACTTGCATCTGTCATTACCATGATATGTTTCATAACCTTTATATGCACATGGAGCTTAAAAATGTAATTTAACAATAAATAATGACATATACCAGATATGCTCACTGTTTATTCCAGTACTCAGCTGAAAACCTAAATATCATTTAAATTATAAATACATAATGCAAATATAATGGCACAAAAATGTCTAAAGTGCAACCAAATCACAATAGAAGAATCATGCAAACTGGTCTAGGTCAGCCCGAATCACTCTGCAGGAAACACAGGATGAAACTGGGGAGGTTTCAGGGAAAGCCAGGGGGACCGGGATGGGGAAAGAGAAGCAAAAAACTAGCAACATTGTGAGAACTGCTTCTTTCTGGATGTGTAGATATATGTATTATAAATACATATATAAATATTACTGTGGGGAGAAAAGGGGGTGGGTACCACGGTGTGAAGAGGTCACAGCAAAAAAAAAAAAAAAAAAGAGAGAGAATGTACTGGACTGAAGAGAGAATTCTGCTAGGAATACTCATATACTACTTGTCGCATTGGGGTCCTGGTTTGGTGGGTTTGCGAAATGGACACAACACACACACTTTAATAGCTTTTCTGTTTTGGAGAAGTCAGTGTTGCCTGGGGTTAGGGGGCATGGGAGGGTGGGAGGGGGAGAGTCAACTTAGAGTATGGTCTACCTGATTTCCAAGAGGCTAAGGCAGTGTCCATATGTTTGGGGACCTGGGGATAGGGCAGTTCTGAGTATAAAAATGCTCTTAACAATCTGATGTCAGCACGCTTAGAGGCTGTGTGGGGACAAAGGCAGCAATGCTTGTGCTGCTGCTGCTGGGTCTGCTGCAGTCGTTCTTGGTCCTTGAGCAGCACGTTACTGGTTTTAAAGGCTTTATGGTAAAGTTGTATTGCTTTTCATTTTCCTGGAGATGTTCCCTCCCTTCTCCCACCAGGATCCTTATCACTTGATTTGGTCAAATCTTGAGTTTAGCCTGGTGAGAGTCAAGCACCAATAGTTTCTACCTAAGCGAGTATGGAGTGGCCCTTACAGTCCTACCCGTCCACCCTCCTCCTCTCTCTCGACATTGACCTTTGGTGGGCAGTGACATTTGTAAGGGACTGTTAGGTTCAAGGACAGTGACCCTGAGAAACTACTGTTGTTCATAGATAGGTTAATCATTTGGCTTTGGTGGTCGCCATCTTGTAAACATCATGGCAGAAACGATCCAACCACCAGCTCCTTTTTATTCTCTTTCTCTCTCTCTTTTACTTATTTATTTATTTATTTATTGGCAATCCTACAGAGATAGCCAAGCTGCCAGGACTACTTTGGCAGGCAGCGTGCTACAGGACAAAAAGGTAAGAGGAGTCTATTAAGGCTGGACAGGACAGCCCAGGGCTATTTATACCCCCTCAGCTCCAAGTCCCCCGAACTGAATACCCAAAGGCTCATTGACTCATTCCTGATCAATTTCATGGAAAGTCTCCCACCTCAGCAACAGTCTGCCCGAGTACTAGGCACTGATGAAAGGTGGTGAGAAAAGAACTGCCACACCCCAAGGTAGAGTAGGCCTTCTCACACTCATAGTGGTCCAAGCCAATGGGATGCTCTTTTTGGTTCCTGTCATTCCCAGGTGGATGTGACAGAGCTGTTTCAGGATAGGTCTAAGTCAAGAGTAGCCTCTGGGTTGAGGTGGGCTGGGAGATTAACATCTTACCTGGGGTCCTTCAGATAAACCTGTGGGTTTTTCCTATCACTTACAGGCCCATCTTAAGTTTTGATGTTGACAAAAACTACTTCTACCCCCTTAGTTATAAAAAAGGCCACAAGGAGCATTTATGTGGATATCTGGAAGTGAGATAGTTATTCCATTCCCAGGAAAAGAAAAATAAAGCTAAGTTACAAAACTAAATCTATATGCAATAAAGTTATTATATACTGCTTTGTTTAAGCAGAGTCCTCTGGAAATTTATGTACAGTACATTAGTTTTCAGCTATTTATATTCCACAGTTAGACCTTAAGATTCTCTGGTTTTTAAGACAATTGTTAAAGATACTTTAAAGCTCTGAGCAGTTACAGTACATAAAGATGTTAGCTTTTTGTTTTTCATTAGATGCAAGAAGAGGCAGGCCCAGAGCCTGGTTGGAGAGCCAGGCTTGAGCAATTTGGTAAATGTATTGGAAAGGAAGTTAGACATTGGAGGATCAAGACCATAAGACACTAGTTCACGAGAGATCAAGAATTCAAACATGACATTCATATTCGTCCATGGCCAGCACAGATTCATAACACGAATTCCATTTTACATCTTTATGAGCATTTAAGACATGCATTTAAATTAAGTTGCTTCTTATCAGCTAACTCTACTGGGGCAACCATTCTAAAGGGCTCCACATCTTCAAATTACAAGGACAGGGGGATTACATGAACGTTTTGTGTTTGAGAGTAGTTTTGAGGGAAGCTGGGAAAAGACATGGTAGAGGGAAGTGATAAAAGAGGGTTGTTTTTTTCTCCTGAGGAGAGGCAGAAAGATCACACACATTCTGCTGGTGGGAATGCTGCCATCGAGGAATGTTGGGATATTGGTTACAGAAGCCTAGTTTCATGCAATTTTTCTTTAAGGGGGCTAGAAAATAGGAACTACTTAAAAAAAAAAAATCAAACCAGGCACAGTACACTCAAAGTTGGTGTGTGAACACCCTTAAATGACACTAGTTTGGTGAGGTTGTGAACACCTCTCCCTGGTCATGCACTCTCTGGCGAGGTGCGTTTGATGTGAGAGGGAGAGGTCACCTCACCTCGGAGGTTCCTGAAGAGAACTTTCAGCTTCTGTGGTTCATTGGTGCGTCTCCTGTTGAAGTCAGCTCGTGGGTGTGGTTGGGCACAGTGATCCGTCTGCAGGATGTGAAAGAGGCTGGCCATGTTGGGCCCAATTTTCTCCATCAGGCTGTCTCTGATTGTGCTAACAGTGTCCCCGTCACATTCCAGTAGGCTTCGGACAAGTCTGTTATAGTATCTGCATTGGGAAAGAGAATGCAGGAGATGGCCATTCAGTGAGAACAAGGCAAACGGGCTTTCATCGGGGCTCCATCAGACACCTATTCCAAATGATCAGGCCATGTGAACCCAAATAGTTTACCAGCTGGTAGTCACCTTGATCTCTACTCTTTGTGCAGTGTCTTATTAGTGTGAGTGCTGCCTGGATTGACAACACAGTGCAAGACAGATCTGTCTTCAAGTTTAGAGCTCAGGGAATTCACTTTGGATAGTAGCTGATGACAATGTGTAAAAGTTTTAGAAATAAGTATAGAGCTAGATGGGATTGTCAAGATCATTTAGTGACTATTTAATCATCTTATTTTACAGAGAAGAAACTAAAGTGAGACAGCTGAAGTGACCTGTCTAACGTCACACACTGGGTTTATGGTAGAATCAGAACTTCGTCAAATATCATGAGGTGAGCCAACACGCAACACACATTACTAGTCATTGCACATCCCTTCACCTTTTTTACCCAGCCCCACAACACCCCTCCACTTTGACAGCTGTCAGTCTGTTCTCTATCTATGAGTCTGTTTCTATTTTTGCTTATTAGTTTATATCGTCCATTAGATTCCACATATAATTTCACTCAAGAATTAGTTTACTCATATGATACTTGTCTTTCTCTGACAGGCTTATTTTGCTTAGCATAATACTCTTCAGGTCCATCAAAGCTGTCATGAAGGTGAAGGGATTAAGGAGAAAATAACAAACAAAGCAAAACAAAACAAAAAGCTCATAGACACAGATAGCAGCATGGTAATTACCACAGGGGAAAGGGTATGTGGGAAGGTAGAAGAGTATAGGAGGGGAAAAAAGTGATGGGAGGAGACTTGACTTGGGGTGGTGAACACACAATACAAGGTGCAGATGATTTGTTACAGAATTATACACCTGAAAGTTCTGTAATTTTATCATCCAATGTCATCCCAATAAATTCAATAAAACATAAACATAAAAATAAAAACAGACATTGCACATAAATTTGGAGTTATTTTGATGCCTCTTTGTGATTTTCCTTCTTCTTGGTTGTGTGTGCTCAGGTGTATGGGAATATGAGTACATTTACAGACTAAACTTCTATCTTTTAAGGAACCTGTTGTCTTCAGTGTCATTGTTCTCCAAATATATACTGTAGTGAGAGGGCCAAATTTTAGACAATGAGGCTATTCACATGGAAAGATTAGTGGTCTTTAGTGGTTCATGCTTCACTAATCCCAGGAAACCTTCTCTCACTGGTCTAGCCTTAGCTGGCCTATTCCTTTTTTGGGCATTTTATAGATATTTGGTTAGCATCATACAGGTCAGCATTTGATGGGTTTGTTTTCCCGAGTAGACTCTAACTTTATTGAAGCCAGGAATTTTGTCCTTTTCTTTATATCCCTCATGTATCAGTATCATCAGGCAATATTGCCCATTCACTGTTGATTTGTTGGTTTAATTTTGTGGCCACGGAGATTTACTAATATAATTCTCTCCCATAAGTCATGCTTCCTTCAAGAAAAATTATCTGTAGGTCTGGAAAGTTTTACCCAAATCTGTGCTTGATACAGATTCACTTCATCTTTGGTGCAAGTCCTTTAAGCATCCCAAACACTGCAGCTCAGTATTTTAGCTCAGAAAGGATTAAACCCTCTGATATTTACAACATATAAATTATTTACCCTGTTCTTTGGGAGGACAGTTCAGTTATTTTCAAATTTGAGTCAGGATGTGTTTGCTCCATGTTGAGGTGGTGACCGTTGTCACCACCCATTAGCTCTGTGTTCACTAAGAAGAGACTGTCCTGATGACAGTGATCTGAAGTATTTAGGTGGGGGAGACCCTTTTTTCAGAGGAACCTGAGCAATCACTGGGGCCACAAGATCTTCTGTAAAAAGAAACCTGTTTATTTTTAACTCACCTCACAAAGCACAGGATCAAACATCTTTCCAGAATAACTTAACCCCCAGAGAGGTCCTTTTCAAGGATGTACAGTAAATAGGGTGGAACATGGGTAATGAAGCAAAGCGGTCACCCTTCTGTGAGTAAGCAGAATGAATTCGGGGACCAAAAGAAAAGTGTCCTGTCTGGGTTTCAGACACAGTCCTGCCCCCACCCCACACATGAGGCTGGGCTCTATCCAGCTGTTGTTAAAATTGGGATTTTCTGGCACAGAAACACATTTTCTACCCTTTGGAATGATAAAGCACATGAGTCAATGCAGAGCTCACTTGGATGGGGAAGTGGGGAGAAAAATGGTTTTGGAAAAACTGAGACTAAGCTACTTGGTAGCAATAGCTTTAGAAGTCTACATACCCACATAGGTCCCTAGCCGTCTCTTTACTTGTGGGTCCTGCTAGCTCATGGATCCCCTGGACCTGTGTCCAGTTCACAGAGTGATTAGATTATAGAGAATGGGGTTTCTGATTCTTACTCCCCTGACCCCCAAATAAGGACTTTACAACTTAGAAGTTACCCTTTCACTTCTAAAAGGAACGATTTACACCAAATGACCTCTCAAACGGGCTGGAGAAGATGGTCTTTGCTTAGATCAACATTGAAAGACTTGTTTGGCAGAAACATTCTAATACCAGTTAGGAAACGCAGCTTCTGTAGCTGGCCTTGCCTCTTTGAGGCCAGTTGGGTTCCCCCTGGTCCCACTTTGTCAAACCTACTCTCCTGCTCCTGCTCCTGTTCTTGCCTTTAGTGTTGCTTCCTCTGCTAGCACAGATGTCCCATCTGTGTTTGGTGTTTCTTGATGATGGCCCTTGCCAGCCTGGTTGCTTTTAGTGACTCCTTCCAAATCTACCCTTAGTTTCTCTCTTGGACCTTTTCGACTCAACAAGGGCAGGATAAGAGGGCTCCTTGGAACAAAAGATACTCATGGCTCCCTTAGCAGCTCCTCCAAGTGTGGGAAATCTGTCAGGCTCTCCATTTGCCAGGGTGAGCAGCAGGTTAATCCTGGCCATCTCCATTTAGGGCTGGACTATGGCATTGGACTCTGGGACTATGTGAGTTAATGAGATAGATCTTTCCTATCTATAAACCACTAAGTGAGATTATTGAAGAGATTGTGTCTCCAGTAAAAGTTGACTTAGTAACTGTCACATATTTACTGAGCACCATCTTGTATAAAGTAAGATGTGTCTTCTTGTTGAGGGGAGAATGCACACAAATCTAATTCTTGATCACCCTGGGGCACATTTATTCAATTCTGCTTGGTAGTCTATTTTTGGATGGTGGATGTATCCTGCAGGCTTTACTGGCTGCCATTTTTGAAGCAGAAATTAAATAGCTTGGCTCAAGGCCATGTGAGTTCTAGGCCCAACTTTGTCATTTACCAGCTGTGTGACCTTCAGCAGGTCACTCCCCTCTCTGGGCCTCTGTTCTTTAATCAGTAAAATGAGGCAGTTAGTCTAGATAATTTCTATGGTCACTGTCAGTCGTGACATGCAATGTTTCTAGTGATTTGATGTGTATGTTCCTTCTCAACTTAATAGAAACAGCACAGCCCTGTCTAAGGCCCATCCTTTGCAGGAAGCGTTAGAACAAATCAAGATTTCTTTCTTCATCTTTATGGGGGTGGAGGGGGGATATCGGGGATGTGCAACAAAACTTTGATGGGCTAAACGTTTGGATCACCCTGCCTAGAGGGACTTTTTAAAGCAAGTTTCTTCCTTCCTACTTTAAAAATTCCGTCACTAACTTTTTTTTTCTTGGTAAAGAATAAGATCAGATATTCTCCATAGCTACTGTTTCAGCCACGCTTACCCAAATACACACATACTGCCTAGGAACGCTCTGTGTGAGGGTTTATAAATAGTCCTTTGTTTCCCTTGATCAATATTATTCTTCTGTTTCCTGTTCCCTATGCATGCCCTAGAGAGCTGGAAGTGTCGTCCGTATTCCCACTCTGGATGTTCCTTCCCCAGCCTCACACTGCCCAAGCTGCCAATCCATTTTGCTTGCTTCTCTCATGATTGAAAGTCAAGTTTGCAAATTCAGCCAGGGGGGCACTCCAGCTAGCCTCATGGAAAACTTCCTTGTTCTGGCTCCTGGTCAGGTCACAGGCTTTTGGATTCTCCCAGGCCCAAATCTCAGGCTAGATAAGTCACAGGAAGGTGGAATGAACCTGTAACTACTTCCTTTCACAATTCGGTGCCAGTTGGCATAAGTTAGCGTGTAGCCATGGTGGGACAGAGGCTGGGAAAGCAGGATGTTTCAGGAGAGTGAGGAGCTTAAATAGAGCAAATCAAGCCCAGAATGGAACCGGAAATCTCTACAGTTCTCAGCAGGAATAATATCAGCAAGTTGAAGTGAAATAATTGGAGAAAGGTTAAGAGTTGCATGGAAGGTTCTGATCTTTCCTAAGTGGCCATTCCTCACCCCCACTTTCCTAATACCTGTGATTCCCCTAAGATTAAAGAAAGAGATGTGACCATTTTCTAAGGGTGGTGAGATGAGGCACTAATTGGAAGTAATTAAGACCATTTGGCCCGATTAAAACCATTCCTGGGCCAAAACTGGTTTGGCTCAGTGGATAGAGCATCAGCCTGTGGTCTGAAAGGTCCCAGGTTCGATTCCGGTCAAGGGCATGTACCTTGATTACGAGCACTACCCCAGTGAGGGATGTGCAGGAGGCAGCTGATCGATGTTTCTCTCTCATCCATGTTTCTAACTCTCTATCCTTCTCTCTTTCTCTCTCTGAAAAATCAATAAAATATATTTAAAAATAAAAATAAAAATAAAACCATTACTGGTCTCTTCTGAGATAGGATCACCAGTCTAGAATGTGTGCCTCCTTTCTATAGACCTCTCCCTTCATCACGGAGGGTGAAAAGTAGGTTAGCATTGCCTCAAATATAGACCATGAAAAGTCACCAGGTCCTTAAAGATCAGCATATGTAATAATGGCTTTGCTAGCATACTCCTGCCCTCCAGCTACTAAACAAACATCCTTTATCCCTAGCCCCAGGTCAGACTAAGCACTCTTTATTTTTCTTCCTTCTGGTGAAGGATGTCTCCAGCAACTAGCCAGGTTCTTGTTTTCTTCCCAGGTGTAATAAGAATCTTTCTATGAGAAGTTTAAGACCAACGTCAATATAAATGCTGTATATGCTTGTCCTGTCTTGAGGAAATCAGTGAGGACCCATAGCACAGGGGCTTTCAAGGACCAAACAAAGGATGTTTATAAATCGACCCCAGGCTCAGAAGAGCACTGACCTGTGGTTAAGAGTGAATGGGGAACTTTACAAAGTTTTAATGTCAGGGGGCTTAACCTTTCCCGAGGGAGGAGCTCCTTTCCTCATCTCCCAGTTGCCGTTATGAATGCGCCTGAATCTCTGGGAAACCCCAGAGGACTAGGCTGTGGCCACTGTCTGAGGAAGGATGGCAGCATCTGGCTGGGAAACTAATCAGGTGAAGTCTGCATTAGCTCCCAGGTCGTCCGAGTAACATGAATAGGACCGATCTTGGGAATATGTCAGGTTTTGTTTGGAGAGATAAAGAATCATAGCACTTCAGGATTGGGAGTCAAGTTTTAGTCCAACAGGGCATCACAGTAGGCTGAACTTGAACTTGACCATACCTCCGTGCCAGCCCCACCACTATCTCTCTTAACTTGATCACGCTTGAGGAAGCCCAAGTCTTGCTGGGAACTATCTAGGCCATGGAGTGAGGATGCCAGCCTCCTCATGTGTTAGGTGTTCACCACTGGCTGGTGAAGACCCAGCCAGTGGCACAGAAAAGCACGAGGCTTAGGCATTACCAGCCCAGTGGCTCTGGGCCACATAAGGTGAGAATGTGATCTGGACAGTCACCGGGACATCATTGCAGGAAATCTAGGACTAGCGGGATGGGATGACATTGGCCTGGCAGGGAACATGGGAGTCATCTAGATTAGCCATTTCACTTGTCACAAAGGAAAGGTCAGCCCCAGGGAAGTGAGATGGCTTGCTCTCGGCTACCTAGTGAAGTATCTGATTGGGCTTGGGGCTCGCTCAGAATACATGCAGACGGAAAGGACTGCATTATGACATTTGACCAGAGTTTTTATACCGGCTAATTATACTGTGCATAGTCATTCAGCCAACTGTGATGTCTCAAAAGCTTGTTTCCATAAACTTCACCATTCCCTTCAGGCTTATGGCAAGAAACTGACCGTGAAAATATACCCAGGGTTGCGGAAAATGAAGCTTTCTATAGCTACATGGGAAGACTTTTCCTATAACAGGAAAAAAAAAAAAATCCAGTCTGCTTAAGCTGTCACAACCAATCACAAACACATTTTTTTCCCCTGCAAAGCTGGGAAGACTGCAAGCTAAAATAAGAGCATGACTGTGGCAATTTAAACCCCCTTCTGTGGCTGGCTCTGCTAGCCAACCACTCCCTCTTCCACCCTAATTGCAAAAAAAAAAAAAAAAAAAAAAAAAAGTAGACTCGTTTTGTACCTGTTGGAGAAGTGGTTGGGGAGCTGCACGACTTCTGTGATGGCTTCAGGGTTCCGCTTGGCGATGCTGCACACGTTCAGCTTGCTGTAGCACTCCTCCTGCACCTCAGCAATCATCCTCTGGAAAGTGGAGCACCTCCGGATGGCGAGGAAGACCTTGGCGGTGACCCCGTTGGCGATGCACTTCAAGCTCTCCTTGACAAATGCTTTTCCCTGCCAAGGAAAGGGGTCGGAGGAAAACCTTTAGCTCAAGCTGACAAGGGAGGACGGGGCCTCCAGTGGGGGGAACTTAGGGGGCACCTGGCCCTGAGCTGTGGCCATCTGCATGTCCTTGCAATGAGAAAACTGTGTGTGTGGCCAGGAGGAAAAAATGTCCCTCCTCTCTGAGACTACCTTGAGAACTGAGCTCCATAGAAATAAAATGAGAGAGGAGAAAGAGAGAGAGAGAGAGAGAGAGAGAGAGAGAGAGAGAGAGAGAGAGAGAGAGAGAGAGAAACTATAAACTACCTCCCTGCAGCTTAAAAATAGCCATAATATGGCTTTGTATCTTTGGGATTGAGACTTGGATAACTCAAACTACAAACTATTGGTATGCTAGGCCACACAATGAGAAGAACTTATTTATTAGAAGAATATTTTTATTTCCTCTTGATAAAGTGTTTTTTGCTTATCACCCCTGCCTTATAAGAGAGCCTCTGTCAGCATGTTACAATCGTGCCTTAGAGTGGGTGGAGAATGTCTTCTACAGAACCTATATCCAGGCCAAAAATATGTGTGTGTGTGTGTGTGTGTGTGTGTGTGTTTGTATGTGTTTGTATGTGTGTGTGTGTGTGTGTGTTTGTATGTGTGTGTGTGTGTGTGTACTACACACATCGGAGATGGGAATTTAGGGTGGGGAGGCTAGGGAAGAGAGCTGATTCCCCACCAGACTGGTTCCTCAGCACAGGAGTCTAACACACTGTTAAAGACAAGCAGCCAGTGGGAGGCAGGGGTCAAGGTCTTATTACCTGAGTGTCAAATTTAGCAGCGCTGTACAAGAAGGATTTACAGATGTCATACATCCCATCTGTGTCACAGGTGGAGTTTTCCAGGCATGCAAAAGCCCCACAGCCAACCTGCAGAGCACTGTTGAGGCAGCGAACCACTTCAGCTGAAAGAGACAAGCCCACCCAATCCGTGTCAGACGAGAGGGCGGTTCCAATGGGTCAAGTGGGTGCGGTGGGAACACTCAAGGACACGGGGTCACGGTAGGTGTCTGGGATGGGCCGGTAGTAGATAGACTCACGGAGAGGGGTGGGTGGTGAGCCAGTGAGGGGCCAGGGGAATCCCTTTGGCTTATCAGAGCCAGGGCACTTGAAGGAGAGGGAGTGTGCTTTTCCTCTGGCTACACGCTCCAGCCTCCCCGTTGCCACACCGTTTTGGGGGGCTGGAGAGGAAGGTTGGGGCCCCTTGGACGTGCTATGCCTGACACAGCTCTGCAGAGCCCACGGGCATCACTTAGAGCCTGAAAGCAGGAGAGGAGGCAAAGCAGCGGCTGGTGATCAGGGTTAGGAGGTGCAAGGGCCAGGGAGTCCATTTGGCTCCCGAAAATGCACTCCAGAGTCATAAGGATGGAATTTTAGTCTAAATGGCCGAGAAGAAGTTGCCAGGAGTCTCTTCCGAATTAAGGCTTTTAACTTACCTTCCTACTGGCAGATGGCAGTTTGAGCCATGCATGTTTCACCCCCACCCCCACCTCCACCACAAGACAGCGCTTAGAGGTATGCATAATGTCTCTCACATTAGAAGCCAACCCCCCATTTTTTTTTTTTTTTTGAGAGAGAGGTGGGGGTGGGGGGGGGGGAGAGAGAGAGAGGAACACAGGCAGGTATGGAATAAAAAGACAGAGGCACCCCTTGTGCAAGACTGGAAGAAAACAGCAAAGAACTTGCAATGAGGCTTTCTCCATTCTGGATAAGATCTCCCACAAAAGTAATTTCTCTCCTACAGAAGGGTGGAGGGGGGGGGGGGATGTTCTGGCAGGCAGCGCTGCAAGAACTGATCTGCAGCCTTCATGCCATAGGATTCTCCTCTGAGATCAAAAGCAGCGTGGTTCGGCTGGGCTTCCCCTCCCCCTCCCACCACACCACCCGCAGCCTCTGGGATGTTACAAGTCATTTCCCTAATTATATATTTTCACGGGGTTCAAATTATAACTTTGCTTTGAGCAGTTTTAATATGCATTAGGGCTGCTATTGTTTTAGGCGAGCTCGACTTGTGAATCACGGCATCGCTATAGCAACTAAGTACAAAAGGAAGTGAGGCAGAGCCTTCTCCCGGCGGGGACCTGCTCCTGCGAGGGGAGCGTCGTCTGCAGCGTTTGGACACCTGCGATGCTGGCTCTGCTGACAGTTGGGGGGGGGGGGGGGGGGGACGAGGCAGCGATGAATGAGGAGCCAGGCAGACAAGCAAAGTCGAAAAGCAGAGGTGTCAGAGCCGGCTTCCTAAGGACTCTCTCTCTCTCTCTCTCTCTCTCTCTCTCTCTCTCTCTCTCTCTCTCTCTCTCTCTCTCTCTCTCTCTCTCTCTCTCTCCTTCTCCTTTGGAGGCCAAGCCAATAGGCGATGAACTGACTGCTCCAGGGGTCGGGACTAGAGCGAGACCTTCCCTCGGAGAAACAGCTGCTTTCCAAGGGGCATGGGCGACTGAATGGAGAGAGAGAGAGAGAGAGAGAGAGAGAGAGAGAGAGAGAGAGAGAGAGAGCCGGGAGGAAGAGGAGGAGCAGCGTGGGGTGGGGGGTGGGATGTGCAGGGTTGTCTTTGAATCTGCTGGGGATTTGTCAGACTTGGGGGGCTCTGGCTCCATAAATCCATGTGCAGAGGGGCATTTCGGGGTGCTCCCCAAAGGGGTGGGGAAGTCAAGTCCCAGGGTCTCAAGGGTGGAGAAAGAGGGGCACCAGCCCCATCCTGCCTCACCTTAAGACCAGCTGGGGCTCCTGGAAGTATAGAGAGCGCTTTGAAGCATGCCAACATTCAAGCCTCTCCCCGCCCCCCCCCCCCCCCCCCCCCCCCCCTTCCAAGAGGGTACGTGCCAGATTTCAGGCAATCAGGCTAGGCTTATGCAATGAAATACCCTCAGCAGAGCGCCCCGGCTTCTTCTTCGTTAGTTGCGTGCAATTTATTAAACAAAGGAGCTCCACTTCCTAAGGCTACTGGATTACCCTGGCAGTTTATGGCCATCAGGCATGAAGCACATTTTATTATCAAGATCAGCCGTCACAGACACAGTTGCAAAAGCGAGAGGCAAATGAGGACAGCTCTCTTTGGGGGGGAGAAACCGGTCCTGGGTTTGCCGCTTACCTGAGTTCTGAGCTGCCACCCGGGGTTTCCTGGGGCTCACAGAATCATTCTGCTCCGCCTCATGGGTTGCAGAAGCACTGATCACCAGCACCAGAAGCACTGCTGAGTTTTGGAGCATTCTCTGAGAAGTTTCCGCTAAGTTGTTGGTTTTTTTTTTTTTTTTTTTTCCTCCCCCCCCTTTCCTCTTTCCCTCTCCCGGCTCGAGGGAAGATGTGGAGCTGGATACACTGAAAGCCTAGGTGAGGATTCGATGAGGATTCTTCTTCTTCTTCTTCTTCTTCTTTTTTTTTTTTTTTTTGTTGCTGCTGCTGATGCTGCCCCTGCTGACGCTTCCTTCCTCTGCTGCTGCTGGTGCTGGTGCTGCTGCCGGTGCTGCTGCTGTGGCTGCAGTCGCTGTTTCTTGCACCTCTGGCTTTTGCAAACTGGGGGCCCAAGAGCTGCACCCAGGGGTTTTATAGCCGTTCTTATCGGTCCTTAGGATCAGGGACCAATCAGGTCCCTCAACTGGTCTGATGAGCCAATCAGAGGGCAAGCTCATTGGGCTGGAGCTGTTTGACTTCTTAGAAATATTTTCCAGCAAATTAAAAGTACCTGCTGCCAATGTTTCATATGTGTGTGTGTGACTGTATGTGCATAGATGTGTGAAGAAGCTGTTTTCATGGAATTACAGGACAAGTTTGTATTGCTTGAGCCAAGGGAAAAACCATATGGCAATCTCAATAAGGTGCTTTGGAAATCTATCCATCTTTAAAAAAAAATGAGTTGAGGGTTGGGAGTGGGTAGTGAGAGCAGGATGGGGGAGTGTGCTCTCTTTGGATTTTCATTCAATCTCATTGTAACAATTTTACTCTAATTTTAATAGCACATCCTCTGTCTGGTAAGCCACACACACACACACACACACACACACACACATTCCCCCATCTTCTCTGCATATGCATGTTCCCAGGTCTGATGCATTTTGATTGTGTGTGAGTATTCTGAGTTCTCACTCACATATAGGAGCCCCCAAGGAGGGACATATATGAGCGGAAAGGAACATATTTGATGAACAGGGGCATGGCAATTCAGAGCTGTGGCCCCACATTCCCCATGGCTTAGTTTTATGACCCTGGCCGAGTCTTTTTACCTTGCCCCATCTTTGTTTCCAAACAGTGAAATGTCAAGGTTGGAGTCCAGCATTCCTGAGGCCTCTAACACTATGATTTTCTAGTCACACAAAGGAACCTCGACCCCATCCTTCTAATCACCAGCGGCGACTGAAACTCCAGAGTGTTATCATAGGTACATGCACTTCTACATGCACTGAATGACACTCAACCGGGAGACAGCGTGAATGCCTGGAAAATTAATAAATGGTGTGGCCAAGCCCAGCAACTTCAGAATCACATCGAAACAATAAGCTGGCCAATCTAAGACGAAACCTGCTGGGGAAACCAATTCATTTCTTGGGGTGGGGGAGGAGAGAGGGAGTGCAGTGGCAGGACTTGGAGGAAGGGGTAGGAAAAGCCCAGAATGTGTAGGAGAGAAGACTGATAAGCTCTAGACTTAATGGGACAATTACAGTGGATCATGCTTAGGTAGAAGCTCATATTTTCTTATAAGTGGGCTGTAGGCAACACTGAAGCGTGTTCTTAACTTATGAAGGTGGTTAATAAGCCAGAAGAGGATTTATCAGGGTGGAGAGGGGGGCCATTAGGACTGGGGGAAGTGAAGGGATTAAGAGAAAAAAAAATTCCCCTTTTAAAAGATTTCAGGAGGTAAGTGAGAAAGGGCCATCAGAGATTCATACAGACAGAGGCAGAATGATCTTGCAAAGAAGCAGAGCCAGCTAGTGGTTTCCGTTTAAATCCCCAAATCTCCAGGCAAAGGTAGAAGAAAGAGTGCCAGTTTTATTTGCTACATACCAAGAATCAGCTCTACGTGCGTGCGGGCAGTGGATTTGCTGAGTGACTATAGCCCTCCTTGCAAAAAAGAGAGAGAGAGAGAGAGAGAGAGAGAGAGAGAGAGAGAGAGAGAGAGAGAGAGAGAACAAAAGATAAAGGGAACATCTAAAAAAAAATGTCAAACTTCCATGAAATAAGTAGTACATTTTAATGGAAGTAACTGATCTGATTGATATTTCTCAAGTAGGATCTAGGCTGAATGCTAGGGGTTGAAGAGAGAGGGTAAGAGAGAAGAGATATAGAGGAAGGAAAAGTAATAATACTTGTTACCGAGGCAATTGCAATCAAGTTGGGAAGATGCTCAACCTCAGTCTTATCTCCCAAAGGTTCAGGATGTCAGAACCGGGCATAGTGGTATGATCAACAGCGGCTAGAGAAGCGGGCAAGTCTCATGCAAGGACCTTCAAGGAAGGATCAGTGAGGGGAAGATGAGAACTACTGTTGTTTATTTATTTTCAAGAATTTAAGAAAAAGCTATGATATTTCCTATTTAAAAAAAGGTCATATTCTGAAAGTCTCAGAGGTTGATTTTATTGCTTTTAGGTAGCAGTGGTAGATGTATGGCAATGTATAATTGAATGTTCTCTTCTAGAAGAAGAAGGGGATAGATGCATAGATTTCCCCCCAACCCCTCCAAGGATCTTGATTTCTGCTCCTCAGCATTCTCTACTTACTTATCCCCTCTTCAATGTTTTTTAAAAATATATATATTTTATTGATTATTTTACAGAGAGGAAGGGATAGGGATAGAGAGTTAGAAACATTGATCAGCTGTCTCCTGCACACCCCCTACTGGGGATATGCCCGCAACCAAGGTACATGCCCTTGACTGGAATTGAACCTGGGACCCTCAGTCCACAGGCCAATGCTCCAAACCAATCAGGGCCCCTCTTCATTGTTAAATGCCGTGTTGCTGGTTTCTCTTATTGGACTTTCCCCGTGTTGATCTACTGGCTTAATATGACTTACTTCCCACCACCCACATTTTTGTTCTCTGGTGCTCACAGCAGAACACATTGTCCTAGAAGTATCAGAACGTAGTGTGTGTTTCCTCTGGAGTTGATTTATTGCTTCTCCTTATTTCACTTCTTACTGTCATGTGCCTGGACGTTCGTTGCTGGGTGTGCAAAGTGTCTCACAATGACAGACAAATAAGCTGTCATCTGAAGAAATCCAATAATGGTCAGCTATGTTGGCTTGCATGCAACTAATTTCAATGTATTTGAGAACATCAAAGGACTGACGTAGAGTCTAAATAGAAACACCCAATGTCAAGTTTCTTCCCAGGAGTTCATGGATATTTGAATGTCCACAGTCATTGAGTTCCTGTCTTGAACTTTAAATTAATGATAGAAGAGTCTTTGGAACTCTGCAGGCGATGTCCCTTGTAACTTCTCCTGGGGGGTGGTGGGTGCGGGAAGGGTATGAGGGAATATATGTTAGAGGAATTTGAATCTTAGTTTTCAGAACTCAGATCTTATCCTGCAAGCAACAGGGGTCGGTGAAGGTTCTTGAGTAGGAATTATTAAGTGATGTGTTGAGATTAATGTTTGGGGAAGATCTTTTGATTATACTTATGATGGTTTGGGGAAGAAAAGAAAGAGCAAAGGTTACAAGGCCAGTTAGTAATATCAGTTTGTGTTGATGAGGTCCTGATAATGATGTAGCATTTGGAGAAGAAGAAAGGAAAAATACGATAAATAGTTTAAATAAAATGGAAGTTCTCAATTAACCTAATAACTCTACAGAGAAAATGAAGCTTTCGCCCAGTTTAATGATAACCAAGATGATGTCCATTTCTTCTTCATTTATTGGTTACAATTTTATTTGACAAGGCTATCTAGCATCTCCATTAGGCAGCCATTTTCTGTGAAGGTCACAGACTTACCTAACAAAAGACTTGACTGGGCCCTGGCCAGTTTGATTCAGTGGACAGAGCGTTGGCCTATGGGCTGAAGAGTCCTGGGTTTAATTTAGATCAAGGGCACGTTCCTGGGTTGCAATCAATCAATGATTCTTTCTCATCATTGATCTCTCTCTCTCTCTCTCTTTCTCTCTCTCCTTCTCTCTTCCTTTCTGGAATCAATAAAAATAAATTATAAAAAATACTTGTCTGGACTAAAGATAGATGAAGCACCTTCCCAAGAATGGCTGAAGGAGATGGAGGTGCCCCCAGGTGCAGTGGTGGGAGGGGAGGGGAGCCTTTACCGTTGCTCTCGAGCAGTGAACGTGCAAAGAAGTGGATGGGAGAATTTGCCAACACCTAAGGCTGGGTGATGATGCCCTGGCTATGCCTGTGCAAGGCTGGTATGAGTTCAGTGAGAAGATTAAGCCAAAAATATCTCTGGGGCTTTGTTGGATTTGGCTAGCTTAAAGCTAAGCAGTGAAAGGCTCGCTGCCTTTTCACTGAGAGGAGCCCAGGAGCATGGTTTCTGGGTAAATGTTTCTTTTGCTGTTAACGGAGTACAAGACCCATCAAGGTTGGTCTGACACAGACACCAAGGTTGGAGTGTCATTGTCATTCTTTTTTGGGAATTCTGCGCTGACTGCACTGTTGGACTGTTGAGTCATGCCTTCCTAAGCTAAAGAAAAAAAAAAGGCAGGAAGATGAGGGGAATTTTTTATTTTCATTGTATATGAAGATACCAGGTTTCTGTGTGCAGTCTCAAATTGCGGTGTGAATCTTTGCCTCGTTATATGTCTTTGATTGCTTTAAACTCTGCCAGAGAAAGAGAGGGACTGGACTAAGGGCAACCTTTCCTCCCCCCTTCTCCTCCCCAGTTTAGAGAGGGTTTGAGTGTTTGGCACAAGGTCAGGTGTTGGGAAAATGCAGGGAAATGTTTGACCTTTTCCTGAGCTCCATGAATTCTCAAGCTATTTCTTAATGCGTGAAGGTTGCATTTGAGGAAGAATGTCTGTTTTATGAAAACACAATACAGCAAGTGGGTTGGAAGAGAGTTCACAGGTTTGGATTCAGTTAACATTTCCTGGGTGTCTATGTACTCCATGCCAGGCATTACTGCAGATGCTTCTTATCTCCTAGAGAAGAAAATGCGACCCTTCTTCCCACAGGAAGGGGAGCCACGTCTCCTGAGATTTGCTTATTATAGAAGTAGCTTGGGTCCCTCCGTTGTGTGAACATCACAGTGGAGGAGGGGGTATCTAAGCTAAAAGCACTGCCCTTGGGATGAGGGTGTGGCAGGAGGAAAAAGAAACACAGATAGAATGACCTTACGTGTCAAACCAGAACAGGGATGTGGAAATTCACCCCTACTCCTGTGAACATCGGATTCTCATTTTTTTTTTTTTTAGGTATAAGCTCCGATATCACTTTATATCAGGGAGAACAAGTTCATAGTCCCAGGGAGGCCTGCAAATCTTCGGTTTCACACAAGGCACCTGGAACAAGTGGGATGAGGATATATGTGTCATTGAATCTGCCATTACCGATAGCCTTTTGGCAGACCTCAAGTGACAT